AATCAGACAGAGAATCAGACAGAGAATCAGACAGAGAATCAGACAGACAGACAGAGAATCAGACAGACAGACAAGAACTGTGTAAAAAGAGAGAAGAGAAGCAGACAGACAGTCTGAACAGCTCCCAGTAACACGTCTTTGTGACTCTAAAGAGAGTCTACATCACTACATCAAAGGGTCTGGAATCCATGTGATCACTGGATTCACTTTTCTGACCAATCATATGGCTGATCTTCACCTGATGACCCGGAAGGGGGTGGAGCCCCAGCTCTCTGCCAGATGGTTGCCTCAGCTGCCAATCTCTTGATGTAGACCTCATCAACATCCAATAGGATGTTCTCTGGTTTGATATCAGTGTGGATGATCTTACACTTAGTGTGAAGGTAGTCCAGACCCTGCAGCACCTGTCACACAAGGGGCAGGTCAGAGGTCACAGAGGTCAGGTCAGGGTCAACCGCGGTCAGGTCAGAGGTCACGTCAGAGTCACAGAGGTGTTTATCAGTACGTGTGTGTTACCTGTGGACTGTAGTCAGGTGTTTGTGTATGTTACCTGTCTGATGATGGTCTTGACGCAGATCAGAGGAAGTCCCATGTAGTTCGACTTAATGATCCATTTTAACAGCTGATGACCCAAAACCTCCAGAACCATACAGACATCTGAGAAAGGCTGAGGAAACTACTGACTGACAAAGACGGACAGGTAGAGAGACAGGTAATGATGAAGGATACGGATTCCGTTGACTCCAGAGATCTTGAAGTCGTCTATCAGCTGGACGATGGTTTCTCTGTAGGGGTCAGAGGGGTCACTGTCTCTCACCTGTACACAAACAGACCTGTTACCTGTGAAACCTGTTTAATTCAAAACCACTACAGACTGAAACCAGTTCAACGTCGTCACCACAACAGTTTTAGGATTATCATTCAGCTTTTTATCCAAATGGAAACATTTCTCTGCAGCCCTGGAGGTTGTTACTGGTCCACGGCCCACGGATCGGGACCCTCAGATAGACCTGGATGGGGACCCTCAGATAGAACTGGATGGGGACCCTCACATATGTACTCACACATCGGAGCAGCTTGATCTCGTCCAGAGCCGTCTCGGTGTAATGTGGAGCACTCTTCACCACCTTCAGCGCCACAAAACGTTTCCTCCTAAAAACAGAAGCAGAGTCAGCGGATGTGACAGAATTCTAACAGAATCAGTGCAGAAATAAAGTAGAAACGAGACATCAAAGTATTTTTAAACAAGATGAGATTCGTACTGTAGATCCCAGCAGAGCCACACGGTAGAAAAATGTCCCCAGCCCAGTTTTCTGACCACATGATACCTCCCATTAAACAAGTCACCGATCTTCACCGGGTAGTAACCACCTGGAACACAGACAGCACAGGTACACATCGCTATGACTCGTGGGTTGTCCTTAATCAAGAGTATTTATTGTTGGAATGCTGATTCAGCAACTTTTCTTGTTTCTATCTCTTGTGCTTTTTGAATTATTAAGCTTTTTGCAATATTTTTTTGAATAGGATCTCTATGGAGAAAATCTTGAAATCCTCTTAAACTTCTTCAACTTTAAAATCCTTCTACTTCCTCATACTTTCAGCTACAGACACCATTTCAACTTTAAAATGTTGACAAAACGTTGAGCTATTTACTGTATGATTATGTATGGTGCTTTTTAATATCTTTTACACTTTTTGCACTGTAGCAATTTAACTTTTATGTTTTTTCAGCCCTTTTTTGCACAGACAACTGTACAACATTTCTACATCGCCAGTGAAGCCACATGTTTTACACTACAGACACAATTTTCACATGATCTGTTCTTCAAGTCATCCTTCCTGTCCAGTTCTAATATCGGAGCAATAGGAGCTACGGTTATGGGGGTTTTGAGAATTTATTTGAGAGGTGTTTCACAGTTTTATCTTTATGTAAAGACTGCAGGCACACAGGTGTTTGTGATTGAGCTCATTAGTGAAGTTGATAAACACACGCACAGACACACATGACTTGGAGAAATTCAGGGAAAGATCATTAGACCTCCTCTTGTCTGTCTGTCTCACTCCATCTAACTGTAACTGTCTGTCTCCCTCTCCCACACTCAATCTTTCTCTCTCAGGCTCTCTTTCTGTCTGCCTGCCTGTCTCTCCTTCACACTCTCACTCACTCCCTCCATCTCTGTGTGTGTGTCTCTCTCATACAGTCATTCAGGTCTTAGAGATTTTTAGAGGACCTTTCCCCTTTCACCCCCCCACCCCCATTTCAAAATAAAAGCCCCACAGAGTGAAATCTAACTGGAATGCTTGTGATTAAGCCTTTCATTGAATAACCTGTGTGTGTGTGTCAAACAGTATGATGATTTAGACATTACGCTCAAAACTAGGCTTTAAATAAATACTTAAATACTTAAATAAAATACTTAATGCTCTTACTAATACTACTACTGCTAATATTTCTCGTATTACTACTACTACTACAACTTCTGCTGTTGCTACTATTACTACTACCACCACCAATATTATTACTACCACTACTGCTATTACTACCAATACTACTATTACTTATACTACAACTAATACTATTCATGCTACTGCCAATACTAATAGACTAAAAGACTACTACTAGTACTACTGCTATTACTGCTACTTCAAATACTGCTATTACTATTACTACTGATACTGCTAATAATACTTCTACTACAACTACCACTTCTACTACTAAAACTACTACTATAAATATCACTACTGCTACTACTAGTACTGATTTTAATGCTACTAATACTTTTACTAATAATATTTATAGTAAAACTACCACTTCTACTACAACTGCCATTGCTACTATTACTGCAACTACTACTACTACAAATACTACTAATACTACTACTACAAATACTACTTTTATATGAACTACTACTATGACCACTACTACTACTACTGCTGTAGTACTACTATGATCACTACTACTGCTATTACTACTATTATTACTACCACTACTGATAGCACTTTTACTACTATTACTTTGACAGTAAAATCGTTTAGCTTCAAGCTTTTCCTGCTTTGTAATTCAGCTCTTAGCTTCTTTAGATAATACAGTTTAGCTTCAAAGTCTGCCAGTTAGACATTTGAACTCGAAGGGTTTTTAGCAGTGCAGTTTAATGCTTCTGGCCTTCAACATTTATCAGACAGGTAGTCTCCCATTTCTGTATTTTCAACAATTTTTTTGCGATTCATTTCAGCTTTCAGCATTCCAACACATTTTCTGCAGGAAAAACATTTTCTAGTTATTGTTAACCAATCATGTTTTCTTGGATGAATCAGAAAACAAACTCACCTTTGCAATAATCTGAAGGGTCTTCCTGCTCCTCATCATCAGAGCCCAGCAGCTGTGCAGGGGGCGGGCTTAGAGTAAAAGGGGATGTGGTCATATGTGGTGTGGCTGATGACATCACGGGAGGCGGACCAATGTGGGGGCTCAGAGAGTTGAGGGAGCAGAGGAAGGAGGCTGACGAGCAGGTGGAGGTGTAGAGATGTGAAGAGACACTAGAGGTGGTCACTGAGGTCAGCAGGAAGGGGTCTGGGTGGGAGGGGCTTAACTGAGGGCTGGGAGGAGCTTTGGCAGAAAGCTGGGCAGGAAGTGACTTTGATTCAGAGGTATTGTGGGTAATATTGTGTGATAAGACTGGAGGCAGTTTGGAGGGATCAGTTTGGCCTTCAGGCCAAATATTTTGGTTAACAGTTGGAGGTGATTGGCGGAAAATCGAAGGCGTCAACGGCGCTGTTGTGTGGGTGTTTTGGACCAAGTGTGCTACATGGGGTGGGGGGGTCTGGAGGGTGTTCTGGGGAGGAGGTGAGAGGGATGGAGGGTGAACCTTGGGGGTCTCAGTGGGTAATGTGGGGGTCTCAGTGGGTAACGTGGGGGTGCGTGGATGGGTCTGTTGGGGTGCTGTAGTGGATTCGTGGACCTCTTCAGTACATGTTAGGGCTTTTTGTGATAAAGTATTTTGGGCTGACAACAGGGTAGATTTTGGGTAACTCTGCTGAGGTGATGGGGAGATGCTGCCGTTGTCATTGAGACTCTGAAGGTCACAGAGGCCATCAGGCCTGAAACAGAGAACCAGGTATTACACAAGAACCACATACGAAGAACCGAAAACATGTAGATTATATAACGTCTGCTTTTGTAACATTATAAAACAGCCAATCTCACCAGTAGCCTCCTCATTCAGCGATTGGTCGGCTGTGTGGAGGTGATAAAGTGGGCGGGGTCTTGTTTATCTCAGTTAGGGTCAACACTAAGAATGTCTTCAAGAGGTTATCTACATGTTTAAAGATATATAATGTTCCATTATCTACATGTTTAAAGAAATATAATGTTCTCTGTTATCTACATGT